GCCGAGTCACCAGGGTGCACTCGGCGAGTAGGGTCAAAGTGTGGCCGTTGACTTTTAGGGTTTGGTCAACAGAGTACTTGTGTCGAGAGGGGGGTAAAATAGCCTTTTTCCCTCCTGAGGGTGCTAATGGCAGGTTGAGTCTAGTCTCGAGAGTTATATTTATAAGAGTATTTACTTTATGTGAATAGGCGAAGACTAGGCAATATTTCTACCAAGTCAGAGATTTACCGAGACGCTTGAGGTGAGTCTTCTCACTATACTTTACCTAGTGAGGTAACAAAAGTTATGTGATAGAGTATTTTAGAGTTATATGCCAGTGTAATTGCATGTTTTTTATGTATATGATTTATTGTGATAGGTGCTATGTATGATTAAGAGTCACAGAGTTAGGACCATCGGGTCCACAGAGTTAGGACTTTCGGGTCCACAGAGTTAGGGCTAGAGGGCCTATAGAGAGTTGGGACTGGAGGGCCCCAATGAGACACATAGACCTGAGGGTCAACAGAGTTACAGACTCGAGTGGCTATTATGTGTTAGAGTGGTATTTTGGGGGGACTCACTAAGCATTTATGCTTGCAATGTTATGTGTTATGTGTTTCAGGTACCAGTGATGATCGCGGGAAGGCACCGGCACGATTCGTACACACGCATACCGGAGTTTATATATATTTTGATCTTGGGTTTTGTATTGATACAATGTTTTGTTCATGATTTCAAATGATACTTTATGGGTTACAAAAGTGAAAAATTATTCAAATTTTTACGGTGTTACAGTTCCCCCAGGGACTGTGCCCCGGTAGCGGGCTACGTCGGTCAACTTAGATCAGCTGATAGATCTGAGATGGCCCTCTATAGCTGGAGAGAACCATCTTGGTGCTGGTCGTGGTGTATGGTGGCTGATGGCGGTGGGTGGCGGTTGAACCACCCGACCGAAGTATAATGTGGTGGCTGAACCATGGGGAAGAGTCCAGGGAAAAAATCCTAGGGAAAGGTCCAATCCCCGGTCCTCCTTCATGGAGGAGGCACTATTCTATTTATAGGGGACAACTTGGTTAAAGAGAATTAGGTCAGGCCTTGGGCCAACCCATTTCAGGCCCAACTAGCGAGGAGCTGGGCAAGGCCGCCCGGAGGTAGTGGGCGGGGCTGGCGGGCGCACACTAGGAAAGGCTGGCAAGGGGCGCCAAGCAAGGCAGCACCAGGCCGGGCCGAGAGGAGGGTCCCCTGCAAGGCTAGCAAGGGAGCGCCAGGCCAAGCTGGCACGCTATAGTAGTCTAGGCCATGCTAATGGACCATATATCATCAGTCATCAAACCATTGACCATCTGAATTCTCCCAATGACAAAAGGCAACCAATAAAAATCTCTCTCTCTCTCTCTATATATATATATATATATATATATATATATATATATATATATATATGCATGCCACCTAAATTTTGTAGTTGCTGACATGTAAAAATCTAAAAATATTTAAAAAAATAAAAGGGCAATTAGATTTACGTAATTTATCTTGAAAAATCTTTAAAAAATCACAATGCCACCTAGATTCTAGTAGATAGTGACATACAAAATAAATTTGTGACTGTTTGAATGATTATTATTATTATTATTATTATTATTATTATTATTATTATTTTAAATTGTTTCTAATTTGTGTCTGTATTAAATTGTACAAATATTCCAAGTTAAACGCTATTGATCAAATCTCCACCCCCCCCCCCCCCCCCGCGCCAAAAAAAAAACTCCACCCATCGTCTCCTAGAAACTTCTGATTTTATCAATCGGTCACTCACACCAGTGAAGCATTACCGTGCCTCAATTTTTCTTAACTTATCTCTCTCAATCGCTCTCACCACCGAAGAACTGCCATCTCTTGATTTTTCTTATCAGGTAAATCCCCCGCTGTAACACCCTATTCTAAAACATTCATTTATGGATTTCAGGAGTCAAGGCTAGGGGTGTTTTGGTCATTTATGGGCTTTGAGTTTTATTTGAGAAGTTTGGACCGAGGAGTGTTGCTAGAAGCGTAGGGCTTCTCGACACCTTTTTGTAGATATAAAATTCGTCGGAAACGGACTTAGAATGAAGGAATTATAGCACTTTGAAGTTATTGACATTAATGGTCCCTTAATGAAAAAGTTGGCAAAAAGGACCATGCATGTAAGGGGGAAGGTGCGTGGGTACGCCCAACGTATAAGGGAGAAAGGATTGCGGGTGCTTAAGGCATACGCCCAATGTACAGGAAGTACGCCCAGTGTCCATAAACCCTAATTTTAGGGCCAAGCCACTATATAAAGAACATAACACCCAAGTTAACAGCCTCCATCTCATTTTCATACAAACACTACGAAACCCTAAACCTCTCTTGGGTATTCTTGAAACCTTGGGGGTCATTAGAGAGCATTTTGGGTATTGTAAAGCCATTTCCAAGCAAGTGAAGAGATTAGCAAGGTGGTGGATTGAAGGGGAAGCAGTAGATCCCAAGTTTGTGGTTCCATTTCAGACCATTTTGAGGTATAGAGTTTGAAAGTTTACTTAAGTATGCTTAGATCTATGCTAATGGGAGATTTGAGCCTTTTTGGTTCCAAGATTTGACCTTTATGTCACAACTCGCCTTATAGGTCCATGGTTGCCACCCTTAGTGTCATATGAGTCCCATAAGCAGTAAAGTTTCAACCTTTAGGACTCATTTGTGTCCATGCATGAGATCTAGCCCTTGGAATGAAAGCATGTTGTCACCTTTCGAGTTTGGGCTTGTTTGGTGGGTTGCAAGTCACCAAGTTAGTGACTTTATAGTTTAAGACATCAGTAAGGACCTGGATCTGAGTTGGTAGCCTCTGGAGTGGTGTATTAAGCACTTAATGGAAAAGTGTCTTAACAGGAGGATTACGTTGAGCGTACGTGCAGCTACGCCTAACGTACTCACTAGAAGGCCAGTACGCTTAGCATACATTAGAGTACGCCCAACATACTCAGCAGAGTTGGGCTTTGTGCATATTAGGCCTCGGTGTGGACTGTGTCTTAGATTTTGGGCCATTGGGCCATAGTGGGCCATCATGAGTCAGGTTATTTTGGGCTAAGGATATGCTTAGGCTTACGATAAGGCCCAGTAAAGGGATTGGGCCCAATTTAGCAAATTGGGCCACTAATGGACTTGGGGAGTTTGTTTAGTGTTGGGCCTTAGTTATGGACCAGGTTGGCCCAGGGGTAGAATGCCCATTCTACCCTATGATGGATTATTGGATTTGACTACGTGTATTATGGTATTGATAGTTCGGGGAGCTAGAGGAGAAGCAGTGAGGGGGTTGTCACATAGCAGCCAGAGGGATATCAGCAAGGGTTCATTAGTGCAAGGTGAGTCTCCCCACTGTTTATATGGGTCTACAACCATAATGCTGACCCATTTTGTTTATGTATGATTGGAAAACCCGGGGGTTAGCCCTAGGCATTATGCATGAAAGACCAGGAGATGGCTCCTGGCACACAATATGTTATTATGTATGGTAGGAAGACATGGGGGTTAACCCTAGGCAATATGTATGAAAGACCAGGAGGTGGCTCCTGGCGCACTATATGCTATTACATATGAAAGACCAGGAGGTGGATCCTAACATCCTATATGCTAAGTAGCCTAGTAGAGTAGTATGTATAGTTGTCTTTGTGATGCTTGCATGGAAGACCAGGGGGTGGCCCTTGGCACTTGTCTGTAAGACCCAGGGGGTGGCCCCAGGCTTGAACAGGAAGACCACGTGCGGCCCACGACATAATGGCAAGACTATGTTTGGCACATAGCACCTTAACAAGACTATGCTTTGCACATAGCACCTTACTTGATTACATATATGTTTGTTATGTATGGCATGTATGGATCAGTCGATATGCATGGTATGTGGTATTTGGGGAACTCACTAAGCTTCGTACTTACGATTTTCAGTTTTGGTTTGAGGTACTTCGTTTTCAAAAGAAATGAGTCAGCTCGATCGCAGCGCATCACACTATGTTTTCCGCACCGGAGATCTTTGGGATGATACTCTAATATGGTTTTATGATGACATGTTTTGATTATTGACGTACTGGTTTTGGCATGATATGTTATTATGGATGTTTCTTATACTGTTGATTTTATAATAACTCATTTAAAAATGAAAATTTTGGCCTTGAATTTTGGGATGTTACACCCGCCTTGTTTTTCAATTTGTTCACTACTTTTATAGCGTTCTTTGCTCTATTACATGTAATTCTGTAATATGAACGATTAAGAGCCTGAACTATAGACAGTAAAATTGAATCCCAGTAAAAGAAAGCCGTGAATTTTTGTATTTGATTATCTTCTTCCATTCAAAAGAAATCCTCTCACTTCTGGTAGTGGAGAGTTCCTTTTGAAATTTCAAATATTAGTAAGAATCATATATATACTAAAAACTAATTATTAAATCAATTAAATATGAATTTCTGAACGGCAATCTAAAAGCCACAATGTCAATTTGAATTTGAAGAATAAAATGTTTAAATTTTCAAGATCAAGAGATGAAACTAACTCTACTGTCAAATTGAACAACTTTATTAGCACTATAAAATTGAATCCCTTAAATTCCAAACCTCAAATTTCAGTTTATTTGTCAAAACTAAAATCAATACTACACAAACCACAAACCAAACTGCTTCTTATTTTTGTGATTACCTTTTTGTTGTAGTTTTAACCATTAAACAAAATTATAATTAAGGATAGTTTTGTTAAAATTTAGCCATATTGATAGAACAAGAAAAGTGAAATAAGAAAAAGAAACACATAGTCATGGATTTATCGATTTTCCCAAGAGGAAAATAACGCAAAGCCTGTGCTTCAGACATCTAGCAAGAAACAAGTAGTTGAACAGTAATTTGAAATAAAAAGTCTTGATTTGATTATTGTGTTTATTGTCTAGGCTCTCTGAAGGTTTATAAATTTATTCATAAACTCATAAACTCAAGCGACCTGATCTCATCATCGATTTGGCATCAAGCATCTGACCAGGTAACTTTGGCCTCACCCCAGTCACTCTTAGGCACCCCAAGGGCCTTCCAAACAGCTTTAGATGCATCCACGATGTTATTAGGACATGGTGGTTGGTATCCATGCTCAGCATCACACCCTACAGTGGAGTCACACTCATCGACCACCTTAGCCTTTACACTCTTACCATTATAGTGTATATTGATAAACTTAGAACACCTTTTTCTGTTATTATACCACCCAGTGGACAATGCAACAATTAGCGTATTATCTGAGTGATACTTACCATCACATGCAGATGGTCCTCCACCATCCCCTCCTTTTTGAAAACTGTTTATCGTTAGTGTGGCTGTTGTATGTTTAGTGACAACGGGTGAGCATTTGTACGTGTTGTATAACTTGCCTTCTTTGCAACAATCTGGATCGTTCACACATGTCCCATGGGGGGGTTTTTTACCTCTCAACTTTCCACTCGCCTTGCAAGACTGACCATCAACGCAAGATATAAACAAGGTAATGAATATTGAAAAGAGAATGAGAATCGTAACTCTTGATACCTTCATTCTATATTTGTATGTTGATGGCATGTTTGGTGTGAAGAAATTGTGTTCAAGGAAGCTAAATATATATATCAATGGAGTTTTGTCGTGTGCTGGAATTGTTTTTAGGGATTTTATGCATGTTCGGTTGAAATTACTATGTCAATGTAACAACTAGAGCTTTGTGACTATTTGTTTGTATCCTTCAAACAAAATCTTAGTTAAAACAATGTGTTTTAAGCGGAGAAGTTATAAACTTGATTCAGGGATCTATGTTGGCTTGAGTTTATTTTTGTAAGTTTCTTGTTTTACAAATTTAATAGAATATTTGACTTGCTTGAAATTTTGTTTGTATCATAGGAACAAAATGTCTCAATCAAAGAAATTGTTTTCAAGACAGAAATTTCGTCTTTGGATCTTATCTTATTTGAATTATTTATAAAAGTCTAGAGCTACATTGTTATTTTCAATTAATTGTCGATAAACCCATAGAAAAAAAATATATTAATATAATTTAGTTGAACATTTCTTTTAACTTTTGGATTTTTGAATTGTTCAATTATGCAATCACTTCTTATTAGTCAACATACAACTTTAAAACACAACTTTAGGAGTTTTGGATATGGATTCGATTTTACCTAACGAATGTAATTATTAAAATTCAGACATCATATTTTTCAATTAAATACGGTGTATGTTCAAATGATATTTTCTTATAATTTTAAAGAAATGCATATATTACATTTTTAAATAAGAGGGAAAAAACACATCAAATACCTCCATGGCACAAAAAGATTCATTCGGTAGCGATGAGATTTATGTGGGTATATCCTTACAAAGTAATCTAATTTTGAGTTCTTCATGGATGTTTAGTTGTATGTGAAGGGTCTCAAAGAAGAAGATGTGTGATGCCTTTTTAGTTGTGTGTTTATGAATCCAGATTGTGGTGCCTTTTGGGTTGTGTGTTTATGAATCTAGATTGAGATATATATGGTTCACTTTTATCTTTACAAATGAATCTAATTTTGAGTTCTTCATTTGATAGTCATTTTAATTTTAGGAGAGCTAAATCCACAAACAAAGAAACATGCTTAAAAGGATCTTGAATCCAATTTTTCAAAGGGTCAGATCGAACCCCAAAAAAATCAAACCACAAAGATCATTTTTACGGTTTTGTCTAAAAATTACAATGATTAAAATTTAAAACTGTAACTTACTGTAAATTAAAAAATAATAGAGGATAAAAATATAATTTATACGTTTCTTAGCGATTTAAAGTTATAGTGGGTCTTGTGACATCTCGTATAGTTGGATGACTTCCTAAAGTTCTCTTACAAAATTAGGGCATGAAAGCTTATTGCAAAATTTAGAAAGTTGAAACGAGTTTGAAATTTTCATTTGCTCCATATCTACCGCTTAAGTTGGGCAAATTCACTGAAGGCTGATTAATCGGCGACGGCGGCCGACAACCGACGGCGAAGCAAAGGGGATATTTTTTTGATTTGAGGTACAACTTCTCTCTTCTTCAGTTTAACACTCTGTATCATGATCCACAACAAAATTGCGTTTGTTGTTTATGTTAGTTAGAGAAATAGCAATTGTCAAATTCTACCAGTGAATTCTCAATTGTTGGTGCTATTTACAAAATCTCTTCCTGCATTTTAGTTTTTGTAAGCTTTCCATCCTATATAGCCTTTTCGTTGTTGTCGGTTTCTTTCCAGCCTCTCTCGCCTTATACATATACACCACCATCACCGCCCTGTACGGCGTCCTTCTTCTACATCACCATGTCGCGCTACCTTCTCTGTTAGCTATCGTTGTTGGTGGAAACCGGAATTCTTCACAAACACTAACAACTTCTTCGCTGGAAACCGCACTTCGTCAGACCACCCAATAAATTATCTGACTAACTCAGGTCTGTCTCTCTGCTTTCTCAAGCCTTTGTCTTTGCGATTTTAGATTCAGAGATAGGTTTTCTACGTTTTGGGTTTGCGATTTTGTGGGTTATTCTTGATTTAGGGTTTGTTTGGTGATTTATACATTAACTGGAAGTATCGATACCGTTTTAGGTTCTGCCTTCTCGGATTTAGGGTTTCTTTTGGTAAGTGCAATTTTAGTGCCTACAGTCTTTCCCCGAAATACAAACACAGGAACACTTGATTTGTGGTGGATCACCTGATCTTTAACATGGAACATAGATGTAATTTTAATGGTATCCTGTTGTTGAATTTCAGTCTATGGCATCTGGTGAAGGTTTAGATGTAATGCAAGTGAATAATGGTTCTAGAAGACCCCGGATTCTTCTAGCAGCAAGTGGAAGTGTAGCTGCCATAAAGTTTGGAAACCTGTGCAGCTGTTTCTCTGATTGGGCGGATGTAAAAGCTGTTGCCACACAAGCAGCTTTACATTTCATTGACAGAGCATCTCTTCCAAAGGATGTCATCCTCTACACTGATGAACACGAATGGTCATCCTGGTCAAAGATTGGAGATACTGTGCTTCACATTGAGCTTCGTCGATGGGCTGATATTATGGTCATTGCTCCCCTGTCAGCCAATACGCTTGGCAAGGTAAAATGACCTTTTTGCCCCTTTGTCTATACGCTTAATAATGTTGAATGAAAATAGGTAACAGTTTAAGAGTTGTTGTATGTAGATTGCTGGTGGACTGTGTGACAACTTGCTGACAAGTATCGTTCGAGCATGGGATTATGAGAAGCCGATATTTGTGGCTCCAGCAATGAACACTTTTATGTGGACAAATCCTTTTACAGAAAGGCATCTTATGACAGTGGATGAACTTGGAATTACGCTTATACCCCCCATCTCTAAACGGCTTGCTTGTGGGGACTATGGCACTGGTGCAATGGCCGAACCTTCTCTCATCTTCTCGACTGTACGGCTCTTCCTCGAGTCGCAACCAAATTCTTCCACAAATCATTAAATCTTAATTTCTTTTGTATTATGAAACCGGTAAGATCATGGATAGTTATGTAAGACTGGGCATAACAGGTTGTAGTTGTACTGTGTTTGGTATGCGTTGGTTAACATGATAAAAACTTATATGAGGTTTTAAACACTTGTGTATATATCTTTTTGCATCTCAAATATTTGATTTGTTTGCCCATCCCAAATAAAATATTCTATTAAGTAATTTAATACATTAGTTTTAAAGGAAAAAAAATTTGGTTACAAAGGTAGTTGAGACTAAAGAGTTAAAGAGGAATGGAAGAGCATGTGGACAGTGGAGTCGAATTAACTCACTATGCATTCATGCCCAGACAGACACATTGCAATCTGTGCACAAATTTCCATACAATTACAGTTCTGACCACCTCAAAATTTTAAATGGAAACTCCCAAGTTACACCTTACGTGGAGCTACGCTACATTCAATCGAAGTTTTAAAGTTTTATTATTTCAGTATGCATTTATTATTAATATATTGTGGACTGAATTTCATGATCACAAATGAAAGTTTTGATTTGTGTTACACCCTAAAGCCCATCTTGAAAATTTCATAAATATATAACATCCAAAAGTGCTACTATTCACGGATTAACTAACATTTGCATATAAAAATTCTGCCTACCAACATATATTGCTCAAATTATGGTGTGGTGTAACTCAAAAAAGCTATTGAGATCGTGATATCAATATGCATAATCTTTCCAAAATATCTACCTCATACTCAATACTTGTTTCTTGGTCCCGCTAAATGGTAATATATTGGACCCTTGACTTAATTGCTCTGGCCTACTAGATAATGATACATATTTGAAATCTTTTAATCAAAGATAATTATAAACAATCAAAGGCCTTTGCCCTACCAGTATTAAGAGTTGATGGATGTGTGTCATTAGCCAAAGGTTGATGGTATAAATCATATTGTAGACAAAATGTGTAGATTTAAGAGTAAAGTAGTATGTATAAATGGTTCTTAAAAAAGATAATGATTAACAATTATATTTTCCCTTTTAAAATCACTTTAGCACTTACACGCTTCTAATTTTATTTTCATCTCATTTCATAAGGTACATGAGTGAATTAATAAGTTGTATAAAAATTATAGGTGTCAATTTGATATATATATATATATATATATATATATATATATATATATATATATATATATATATATATATATATATATATATATATATATCAAGTAAAACCGAAAAGAATGCAAACTTAAGGATTTTCTTGCGAGTTTCACTTTAAGGTAACCTAGAAAACATGTGATAAATAAAATGGTAAACTAGAAAGTTGAATGTAACTTATGTGATAAAACCAACCAAAAGAATCAAAAGAGAGAAACCATTAAAATTTTACAAGGTCTAGTTGTTTGTGATTCTCATGAGAAGGTTGGTGGATATGTTATTGATTATTGAGTTGTTACATTTATCGGCTTTCAAAATTTGACTAGCTTGCCGTGCTATGAAGGGAATATATTCACATTGACGACCATTAGGCATTAGAGACCTTTTCCTATATGGATAGATTTCTCCACAAATTTTTGGGGTCTTTCAATGATGTTTTAATGCGTTATGGACGGATTCAATCCGAGTTTAGATTTTTTTAGAACAACAAAGTTAATGTACTCTTAAAGTACTCCTTAGTTCCACCTATGTTTACGAAGAGATTTAAACCTTCAACTTCATGAAAAACAACACCTGATACCGTTAGATTAGAAGTCAGTTTGATAATATGATTTTTGATAGGTTATGGTTTGAATGGTTGAACAAGATTGGGACAGAATGGTAAATTAATTACTACCATATTGCCATATTAAATTGATCTAATAAAGTAAAGCGTACACGTCATTAATGGGAAATAAATAACCGACTAAGGTGGTGGCTTGAGCCTTGAGTTGAGGATGGGAGGACCATAACATAACATGATAACATTTAAAGCTTTTTAGTTTGTAACAAATTTCTTCAACCAACCCCTCCATCGTCGTTATAATTTATTAGTCTGTCTCAACCCCTTTGCCCCTTTCCATAATGAATCAAGGCCGCTTAAATGTAGGATTGTGCAAGTGGACCGTATCATTCTAAATTAGAATTAGGTACTGTTGGTTTTTTGTCTGTAGATCTGCGTAGCCTCTTTTGTCTGTGCCACGCAGACCACGCGCATACATTAGTCTTCGCAAATTGTTTGTTTTTTTGAAGACTGCAGACTTAAAAATGTCTGTGCGTCATCTTCTTAGCGCAGATGTGGACCGGAGTCTTATAACATCTTCTAGCCTAAAAAACATATATATCTTTATTTTTTTAGTTTTTTTTTTTAATTTATATTTTTTCCAACTTTATTAATGATAAACAATTTGAAATTTTTTTTACAAAACTTAAAAAAAAAAACGTTCGATGATACAAATATGATATTTTTGACAAATTTCTAAATAAAGATTTAATACAATAATAGTCATTGAAGTTTTTTGTATAAATATGAAAAAAAAAATCATAATATAATCTTATATTTTTTTGCCAAATTTTATAAAATATTATTTAATACAGTATCGTCAATTTCTCTAGAAAATATTTATGGTACGTTTTTAATAGATTTAATTGAAAAAATCGAAGTTTATTTCCGTCCATTTATGTATCAAATTCTTTTATCACTAATTATAATGTATACTTATAACTTTACAACCAAAGTTGTTGATTTTTATTAAATATATACGCTAATTCATACCATTTTTATTTTTATTTTTTATATAATAGTACATAAAAATTGATCTAGATTCGTTAATTATTTATAACAAAGTCATAAAAATATTAAAAATCATTTAAAAAAAATCAGTTTATTTATATTTCAATTTATTTTAGTAACTCGCAGATGTTAAAAACAAACAGTTTTCTTTTTTCAGACTACAAATGTTTTGCTCCGATACTAGTTCGGTTTTTTATTGGATTGGTCATATATGGGTTTTAGTATGAATGTTGGGTTAGGTCGGCTAATGTTTTTGGGTTTGAACAAAAACAATTTTATCGGTCAAGTTGTGTTTAATATGATTTAAATCCAATCAGTTTTTTTGGCCTAGTGTTTTCTGTTCAAGTCTAAGAATAACTTATACTATTTTTTAATATTTAGCCTCTGTGTTTATAAAAATAAAAAACAACTCGAAGATTAATTAAGATAACATGCAATATGACACGTACAAAATAAAATAAAAAACCAAAATGAAAACGTATTTGCTATGTTAAAGGTGATGTCACAATAGGAGTTCAAAATTCACGTTGCTACTACTAGTAATCAAAGAGCTGTGTTTTTATGGTTTATGAAAAATGAAAAAGAAAAAAGAAGAAAGAAAGAAAGATGGAATTGCAGAATCATCTCAGATCCAAACATTGGAACTATGTTGGAACAAGTATCATCAACGTTTTTTATATAAGTTTTGGCTAAATAGACACTTCATTTTATTATTTAGACAACCCTAATTAATTTCTAAAATATTTTTATTGGTTGAAATTCGTTTTGCAAATTGAAAATCTTGTTATAATTGTTTTTTTTAACACTATGGATTTTTTATTTTATTTTATTTTAATTTTTTGATCTTGTGGGGCAGGTGCCGCATTGCTTTGTGTGGATTATCCCCTAATGATCAATAGTTCAATATGATGATGGTTGAACATTAAATATTGCTAAAAGTGAAGACAAACTAATCAAATTAATAAATTTTACAACTTGAATATTAGATTTTACATGTGAATGAAATTTAATATAAAATAAACCATACAAATAAAACTACCACAAAATTCGTTTTTTGGACGACAACTAAAACAAATGATATAAAAAAAAGGATCAAATTTGTAAATTACTCAATTGATTGAGTTTATATATATTCGCGTAAAAGGTTATGGACATGTTCCCTTTTAACCATTTTCATCCCATTATGTAGATTTGTAACTATATATATGTTTTTGTTAGTCACATCTTTTATTGTGACCGTTGACCCTATAACATTCTCGTATGATCTACTGGAAAATAGAGCTATACTTTGTAAAGAAATAAAATCATTAAAATAACAATAGAAAATTCTAAATAATTTTAAACATTCTAAAAAAGGAAATGTTCAATACCAGAAACTCATCTAAAAGTATAATAACAAAAATACAGTTAGTGCCAAATGTCCAATGATAAACTCCAAATAAAAAATGTCGTGCTCCAAAGGTCTTTCTCTAAATCTCAAACACCTTATTTTTCATCATCAGATGAGAGACATGGCAAAATAATACATTCAGACTATAATTGTCTAATTACATACACATGAGTTAAACTCTAATAATATAATTTTACATAAAGGATTATATCATATATATATACTTAAATAAGAAAAGTCAATTCTTTCCGAGAAATTAAATCTGGCTATATATATGAACTAATCTTGATAGACTAGATATATACAGAAAACATAACTTCAAAAGAAAAAATAAATATTAGTTATTGACCGGTTGACTTTGGAGTCAACTTTGACCAAGGTTTAGAACAGAGGGTAAAATAGTCTTTTAAATATCACTTTCAGTTGTATAAACAAGGCGTACCTTATCAAAACCTGAAAACCCCATTTCACGTAGACATGTGGACGTTGGTAACCATGTCAGCTTCCCCCATCGCCATCTTCCTTCTCCTCCTCCTTACTCACTCTTCCGCAACACCTCCACGACCATTCAAGAAGATCTACGCCTTCGGAGACTCTTACACCGACACCGGAAACACCGCCTCCCCCACCGGCCCAAGTGCCTTCACTTACGTCTCCAACCTCCCTTACGGCCGCACATTTTTCCACCACCCAACTAACCGTTACTCCGACGGGCGTCTGGTAATCGATTTCGTGGCGGAATCACTCTCATTACCCTACCTACCACCCTACCTCAACCGCAAGGCCAACACCACCGCCGGTATTAACTACGCCGTCGCAGGATCCACCGCTATCAGACATGCGTTTTTTGTCAAAAATAACCTCACCTTCGATGTAACACCTCAGTCTCTACAAACTCAGCTTTCTTGGTTTAACAAGACATTGCAGGGGCAAAAATGTAAAGGTGCTATGTCGACGCCGGCGGAATGTGCAGCGGTGTTCCGGGATGCGTTAGTGTGGGTGGGTGAAATCGGAGCCAATGACTACGCTTACACCGTTGGATCAACGGTGAGCGGTGAAACCATTCAACGACGTGCCATTCGCAGTGTAACAGGATTTATAGAGGTAATTAATTAATTATATTAATTTCGTTATTATGCATTCAAGAGAAATATATTACTTTTTAGTAATTAGTAATTAGTAATTTAAATCTTTGATAATTTGGTACTTTTTTTATGATTCATATGCCAAATTATCTTTCGAGTCATACGTTTCAAAATATTTAATTCTGTTATTGTTTTACGACGATTTAAATATTGATATTTTGAATTACTTTTGAGATGAATTACATCACCAGCCAAATTATAGTTTGATTTTAAATGTTTATCAAAATCATGCTTAATGCCTATAATGTTAAATTCTTTGCTTTGTTTTCCTATAATTTTCTTATAAATTTTGATCTGCAGCCATGTTTTTTGTAAATTCTGTGTTGAAATTATTCATAATGGTTGATCTTAATCAAACACATTATTTTGACACATGATGTTTCTAATAACTTTGTTTAAGGAAAATCAATTATCAAAAACCTCTTTTGCTTAAGCTTTTTTTTAGTTAATTAATTTATCCTTAAATCAGTGTTTAAGTGCACATCATATATCTTTTAATATGAGAGATATTAAAATGAGATATTAGTTGGCATTAATATTTATATATAGAGTTAAATATATTACAAAATACATGGACCACACACTTATTTAGTAGGGAAATAATAAATATTTGAAAATTATATATAATCAGAAAAGTAAAATAAAATAATAATGTATTATTAATTGAAAGGAATAATCCTAAAATGTTATTTTATTATTAAAAATGTTCAATTAAAAAAGAAACTAGTAACATCGTTAAGATTTGACATTTAACTATAATCACATGTTTCTTCTAGTGTAGTTCACTTTATCACATGTTTCCTATCCTCTCATCTTGGTATCCGATTACTTGTAATTTGTATAATTAATAATAGAGAATACATTCATTTAAGATTAAATATCCTCCTATAATTTCTTTCTTATTATCCTTTTACCCATATCAAATGATGATATGTATGGTATCACATTTAATTTTTCTTAATAATATTTTAATTTAAATGTCAACAATTTAACATAGATAAAAGGATAAGTATGAAGAAATTGTTCCATCTTTAATTAATTTAATTATATGATATAAGTATTATAAAATAGTAATATGAATTCTATGTTAATGTAAATTTGAGATCATATATTCACATAACATGGAATTCATATTTACTATCATTGTCACATGTGGATCAATGTGTAACATGATGTCACATTAATTTAGAATATATAAAGTTAATTTCACATTCAAAAGATCATCGACTTTGCATACTTTACGAAATGTAATTCAAATTATAACATTGTTATTATGTTCTAGTTCACCAATTGTTTTACAATCTACTCATTTATTTTTTGTTTTGCTAGGCATTGCTCAAAAAAGGTGCAAAATATATGGTAGTCCAAGGCCTCCCCACCACCGGTTGCTTGACCCTCGCCATGTACCTTTCACCAGAGTCAGACCGCGATGACATTGGTTGTGTCGCCACCGTCAATAACCAAAGCTACATCCACAACACCATCCTCCAAGCCAACATCCAAAACCTACGCAACAAATACCCAAAAACTATCATTGTTTATGCTGATTACTGGAAAGCTTATCGCTCCATTGTCAAGAATGCACCAAAGCTTGGATTCCACGATGTTTACAAGGCGTGTTGTGGGTCTAGTGGTGGTCCCTACAACTTTGACTTTTTAGGTACTTGTGGGTCTGATTCTGCAAGTTCATGTCAGAACCCATCTCAATATATCAACTGGGACGGAGTTCACCTTACTGAGGCTATGTATAAAGTAGTTTCCGAGTTGTTTCTTAATGGTGCTTTCACTTATCCGCCATTCAAGTCCTTGTTAAGAAGCAAGCGAAACTCAGCTTAGATGATGATACATCTTTTTGTAGTTGTCTATGCGATTTTATTATTTTCCTTTATCAGTCATTCTTAAATTGGTCTTCAATGATCAATGGTCACATTTTTAATTTCAGCTAATAATAAGGAACCATAAAAGTCGAAAGGGACCATTAAAGTAACAACTCACATGATCCACAACATTAGAACGCTTTAATCGCCTACACAACTCTCCCGAATTTATGTATCTTTAACAAGTACTAATTATCATACCCAACTATGTCTAAATTGATAAATTATTTGTGATAAATGTGATAAAATGATGATTTTATGTATTTTACGGATAACAATAACTACAATATTCATTAGGGTTCATCCTAATGTATTACAAGAACAGAAACTAACACACATCCATCTAAAACTGAATTACCTGAATAACCGGTCATATCAACCGACTCGTGTCCCGTTGACTCAAATAACCAATTTAATTATACAGTTATTTATTAACTTAAATCATTACTTTAATTAAAATTTCATAATTAAGATGGTATATACCCTTAAATTCCTGGCTTAAAATGCTTCGGGCTAGCCGGACTCAAATAACCCACACCTTAACCCAAATCCACACCAACACTTGATCCAAACTTGATTAACCCAAACCTTGTTGACCCTATCGGCTACTGGATTGGGCAGGTCTTTGCCTTGACACGATTTATAAACACCACTACAAGCCAAAGGAACTAACAATATAATGTGTTTTCTTCATGCATCAAATTGCCAAATATGTTTTCATGATAAATAAAAATTTAAACATTTTGTACAAACAAATGCAATTATAGTACACTTTTAGAATGATCACATTACTTTTAAAGATCTCCAATAAGTTCATCAAGCATGAACAATTTCTTGAAAAAAAAAACGTCTTCTACAACATTTGTTCATGGATCAATAACCCCAAATGCAAGCGATATCAATTCATTGGACAAAAGAAAACCATCTGGATCACTTAAACGAATAAACCCGATCTCATTTTCCAACTTTTCATCATCTATAACCAAAGAACTAAACTCATCTTCTTTAATCTCTCTTCTTTCATCATCCAAAAACAACACATGCCCACTCCTCATATAAGGCTCATACACCTTACACAGCTCCACAACAACCTCACTCCCAAAATCATCTCCAAAACTCTTCAAATTCAACCCTTTTGAAGTTCTTAATGAAAGCATCACAATGTCCATAGCCATTTCCCATTCATCAACATCATCACCTTCTTGTGACAAATCAACTGATCCACCCTCCAAATTCTTGACATAATCTGTGTAATCTTTTAACTTCTTTGGTCTTGAGTATCTTGTTCCATTGATATAACTAGCAGCACCTAAGCCAAACGCGTAAAAAGGTTTGTTTATCCAGTATGTGTAATTGTGTTTGCACTCAAATCCATTTTTGCTATAGCTACTGACTTCATAATGTCCATAATTAGCCTCTGAAAGCTTTTTTGAGGCCATTCTGTAGAATTTTGCAGATTGGGTGTCATTAGGAAGTGGAAACTCACCTGGTATATACCTGTTGATCATGTGTAGACGTTAATTTGTGTAAATAATAGAATAGGAGAAAAAGATTAAATGACAAACTTACAATGAACCAAATTTGGTGTCTTTCTCAACTTGAAGGTCATAAACTGAAACATGATTTGGGTTTGCTTCAACAGTGAGCTTCAAACTCTCTTCCCACATTTCTTGAGTTTGATGTGGGAGAGAAGAAATGAGATCCAAGCTCCAATTACCAACCCCACATGAATTGATAATCTCAATTGCCTCATGAACCTCGTCAATACCATGAGCTCTTCCACAAGCTTTCAACAACTCTTCTTGAAATGCTTGAACTCCTAACGACACCCTATTCACACCCAATCCCATCAACTCTTTCAGTTTCTTAGCATCAAATGTTCCGGGGTCCATTTCCATTGATATCTCGGCATCCAAACGCAACCCAAATTTCGATCTCAACGTGTCAAGGACCTTAGCAACGAGTCTTGGTGGCACCAACGAAGGCGTGCCACCACCGAAGAAGACGGTTTCAAGAGGTGGGTGTTTGTTAAAATTTGTTTGTGTTGCTTCCATTTCACGAATAAGAAGATGGATATAATTTGAGATTCTTGGATCATCATCTGCGGTTTCTGTTGAAGAAGAACCCAGAGCTAATATTGGGAAGTCACAATAATGACAGCGTTTGCGGCAGAAAGGGAGATGGACGTAAGCTGAAGCTGGAGGGAGTATGTAAGAGGGGGTCTCGAGAGTTGGAATGTTGGTTGAGGCATTTTGTCGAACAGTTGGCGGGCTTCGTGGTAATGCACTGCAAAAAGACGCTAATTTGATGGGGAATAACTTTTGCGGGTAGAGGGTTGATAACATGGGGGCAATCGTCGACTTCAACATGGTTTGCTTTAGGCCTTTAGCATTCGCTTCAACAGAGATAGAGGACAACTTATTTCCTCTTGCAACAAAATACGTCGTCAATTTTTGGCAGTTTGCCATTTAGTAATGTGAAGTTGTGAAATGTATATATTTAAGACATTTAGGAGCTCGCATGACAATGACTAAAAGTAAAGGGACTGGCCATGTAAATACATGAAATTTAATTCCGAAATCGATAATATAGAAACACCGGGAAGCAGAAGAGCTGCGAGAACGGAGCAGCCATGAAAGGCGGCGAAGAAACAGAGAAGAAGAACGGAAGTGAACAAAACACTAATAACAAAGTACTCGAGAAGGTCGGAGAAGTCATCGCTACGATCAATGAAGCCAAAAACGTTGACCAAGTCATTTGCGCACTCCACTCTCTCGCTGTCCGCCTTTTCTCTCTCGAGTCCCGCTCATTCGCCGGTCATTTATCTTTCTCCAATTTCAGCTTTATCATACAATTACACTGTCAAAATTTTGTTCTAAAATAACCATCAAATTACCTCGTTGTTCAATCATTCAAGTTATTGGAAATATAAAAATTCTGTGCGTTTGTTGGAATTAGGTTTAATGATTATAATTCTGGTAGGTGCTAATTAGGGTTTACTATAAATGATCAACGGTTACTAACTACTTCACTGTTTTAATGAATTTGTAGGTAGCATTGACAAAGAGTATAGAGATGTGATTATCGGAGCAGAACTTCCTTCAGTACCTGAAAGAGATAACTGGTGGCAGGTGTTTTATCAAAGCACTGCGTTTCCAACAATGGCTAGAGTGTTGTTACTTGGTAATCATTAAATTCCATTGCTCCTTTCACTTCCATGCCATTGATCTATGAGAAAAGTTTTCATCTGTCTTCTACATTCTGTAGATCTTGCACCCGCTCTCACTATCTAAAAACTGAATTACATATCTGTATAAGGCTTTCATTCTTCAGGTTTCTAATATTATATATTTTGATATGCAGACGTTGCTTTGAATTGGCTAACCTGTTTCCCCATTTCTGCAAAGAAACATTTGTATGATGTATTCTTTTTAAGTGGCTGTGTCTCAGAGGTTGTGCAAACTTTAGTTCCATATCTACAACATCACTCAAATGGGATACTTGAAACCACTGTCTGCTCAAATACTGAAAGGTATCCCCAATGCTTGTGTTCATTTCGTTAATTGCTATAAAATTAACTGGATATAAACATATAATCCCCATATTAATGATAGATTACTTGCACTATGCTTGCTTGAAAATGATGGGGTACTCCAGTTGGCTAGAGATTTTTCTCACCAATCTAAAGATATAAATCTTGAACAACACAAGGCTGCAATTTCTAGAGTGGCACAGCTTGTTACATCTGTCCCTGATAAAGCACGATTGGGAGCTTCCACCTTACTTTCATCACAGTATCCTTCATATTTGTGATCATCTTTCTTTTCATCCCAAACATGTTGGATTTTGTTTTCTCTTGACAAAATGTGTCAGCTTATATGTCAAAAGGATTACAATTCAACTAATTCAGGGAGCAGAAGAATGGAACAAGAAGTATTATGATGAATTAGTTAACTATAATGGAAGTGATTTCAATGGTTCTATGCTATTTATTGGGGATGCTTTTGCTCGTATTTGTAGGCGTGGGTCTGCAGGTATGCTTATGAGTTATGACATCACAAAGACAACAACTTTGATTCATTTGCATTGATATTTTGAAACAAAATAATAATAAAACATCTCATGCAGATGTGCTAATAAGTGAAGTGATCCCACGAATTGTTACTCAAGTTCAAAGCCTTTTACAGGAAAAGACTGATTTGTCCATTGTGGAAGTTTTTAAATCAAAACCTGGTCTACAGTTTTGGTCAAAGATAATGGAGGCAATTAAAGATTCATATGCTGTAGAAAGAATATCTGAACAGCTTTTGCAAAAGCTAGCAACTCACGACATAAATGATGTTGAAGGTTACTGGATTCTTTGGTTATTGTTTCACCAGATTTTTGAACTCCAAACATCCATCAAGTCGATGTTTACAGAGAGATTTTTACTCTGGAAAGTGTTCCCTGTTTGTTGTCTGAGATGGATCCTTCAGTTTTCTGTTCTTCAATCCCCTCCTGATACCACACTCAAGGGCAAAACTGGAAATCATCGCAATCTATTGGATGCCACTCAGCGTGTTCTTGCAGTATGGTCAAAGCGAGAGTTTGTACAGTCAGCACCAGTAGAGCAACAAGCATGTATCTTTTTTTTTTTCCTTTAAAAAAAATTCAATTTTTTATATTTTACACTTACACCCCCCCTGTGATTCCTTAATTTGAGATTCAGATTTAACAGCAGCAGTTGGGCTTTCCTTAGAAAAGCTAACAAAAGAAGATTTAGATGGTACTAAGGATGTAATGCACTTGATTCTTCAAGGGGTTAGCTGTAAATATCTTTCCCTCTACTGTAATTAATAATTATGGTTTTCTTTTAATCCCTTATTTATTTCATCTTTTTTTAATGATGCCAGGTAGGCTGGAAATCCCTTCTCATTTTGTACGCAAGATGGCTAGCAGTGTTGCTTTAGTCTTTTCAAAAGTGATTGACCCTAGCAATCCCCTGTATCTTGATGATACCTGCAAAGAGGAGACTATTGACTGGGAGTTCACATCAACAAATGCTGACGTGGCAACATCTAATGACAAAGAAACAGACAAAGACCAAAGAACAACATCTAATGGTCGTATTACATCGGTATCAGAAAAAACTTATAAAGACACAAAGAACAACAAATTGATGGGATTGGAACTAATTGATCCAGATGAAGTTATTGATCCTGCGACATTGAACAATGAGGATGCTTCTGATGATGATAATGATTCTGAGATTTCTGAAACTTCCAGTGAATCCTCTTTACAACCATATGATTTGTCTGATGATGATTCTGACTTGAAAAAGAATTTCTCACAGTTGATTGATGTTGTTGGGGCTCTAAGAAAGTCTGATGATGCTGATGGTGTAAGTTTTTTTTATCAGTGTCAGTATATCCTTGGGATTTTTTAGTTAAAAATATTTTATAAAAATTTGCAGGTTGAAAGAGCACTTGATGTTGCTGAAAGCCTTATTAGAGCAGCTCCAGATGAACTTTCATTCATAGCAAGTGATCTAGTCAGGGCGCTTGTCCAGGTTCGTTGCTCTGACTCAACTTTGGAAGGGGAAGAAGAATCAGCTGAAGAAAAGAGACAAAAAGCATTGGTTGCCTTAATTGTAAATTGTCCATTAGGAAGTCTTGATCCGATACATAAACTCCTATATTCACCGAATGTAGACACGAGTCAACGGATAATGATTCTTGATGTCATGACAGATGCAGCACTCGAGCTTTCTCATGCAAAAACCAGTAGACAAAAGCACCGGTCAACCCCCCCAAATCTTGACCACTTCAGAAAGTCAACCATGGTTCTTGCCAAGTAGCATAGGGTCTCAGGGTGCAAGCCCATGGAGAGAGATCTCAGCATCTCAATCTCCATTGAGTTTGACTTATTCCTACGAGAGAGATCTCCCGGTCAAACCCGGTCAACACAGGAGAGGGAAGTCACGGAGGTGGGCCCACAAAAACGTAGTACAAGATGATGATGTGGAATGGTCGCAGAATAAGTTTCCTCCGTTTGCAGCTGCGTTTATGCTTCCAGCTATGCAGGGGGTTTGACAAAAAAAGTCATGGAGTTGACTTTTTAGGTAGGGACTTTATTGTCCTTGGAAAACTTATTCACATGTTGGGTACTTGTATGAAATGTTCAGCTATGCATCCAGAAGCATCCACTTTAGCACTTCCGTTACTTGATATGCTGAGTTCCAGGTATTATTATTTTTAATGGAAGGGTATATTTGTCATTTTGTTAAAACTACTGGTGTTAAATTGCAGGGACATAAGTCGTCATGTTGAAGCATATGTTCGTAAATCTGTACTTTTTGCAGCATCATGTATATTGGTGGCTGTTAATCCTGCTTACGTGGCATCTTCACTGGTTGAAGGAAGTAGTGAAATGTCCAGAGGGCTTGAGTGGGTACGCACGTGGGCCATATCTGTAGCTGAGTCAGACACCGATAAAGAATGCTACATGGTGAGGAGAATAAAATAAAGGAATTTTAATTTTGTTTCAATGTTATATGTATATATTATTGGCATTTCTTATAATATAATATCTGGTATTAATTATATTATATTATATTATATTATATTATCAGATGGCAATGGCATGTCTTCAACTCCATTCAGAAATAGCTCTCCAAACATCCAGAGCATTAGAGTCATCAGATACGAATACCATGTTCCATGCAAGAGGCATAAGTCTTCCATCTTCAAAGGGGACAATCAAAATCTCGTTATGATATTTAAGAAAATAACGCGATATAATAGTTGCTATTTGACCCTAAAATGTATGACTGATTCAGTTTTGTTACCATTATATGCAACCAATTTGATAAAATAATATGCATAAATTGGTGTGGAAAAATGTGATGCTTTGCTTTTGAAATTTGTTTTAGGTGTATGAATTTTGCTACCATTGTAAATATGAAGTTGCTCATGGGTTTGGGAGATGAATGAAGATTATTGGGTACCTCATTAGAAAGAGAAAATTTGCAATTGTTTCATTCATGTTTGTTTATTATTTTAGTTTATCCTTTTGAAATTTTTATAGTGATAGATTATGCAACTCTCAATTTCGACTAGATTTAGCGATTAAAAATCATTAGACCATGAACTCTTAATCTTTGCTAGTTTTGCTCTTGCCACATCCTGCACCCAAATTAAAATCTATCTTTAAATTACTATTTTTTATTAATATGAAGATAATCATTTATTGGGGTAAATACCACCACAATCACATTGTTTCTATCTACAAAGGTAATAACTGTATATTTTTCATACACGAATGTCCATTATTTTATGCTATTATTTTTCTTCTTTTTATGATAATTATGTAACCAAATAAACGTCCTATATTTTACATTTAATCTATTAAAATTTGACAATATTTGAACACCTAAAATTGACATTTAATGGTCATTGTAGATGTCTATTAAGATTTATAAAGTGATGGGTAATGATCATTGTAGATGTGGCATTTACAAGGAATGAATTAGACTTTGAAAATCACAAGTTACAAAAATATGATGAATTAGTGTCTATTTTATAGAAGTTAGATATAAAAAATAAGGATACAACTATTTGAAATTTATAAGCAACTAGTAATTGAGCCCACACTTTGTTGTGGGTTATTACTTGTTTTTCTTGCGTATCATGTATGAAAATTGATTAAACCAGTATAACATATCACATTGTTACCAAAAACACTAAAACTTTAAAAGAAATGAGCATTGGGTGATTTATCAAAAATTGAGAAGAGATTATGGACTATTTTTGTAAGTTGAATGGTTTTTGAATAGTCAATAAGAATGTATGGTCATTACGTAAACCAAAATCCAGGTTAATGGCAATGGTATAAAAGCAAAGACTGAAAACGGCTGCAACCAAAACGCAAGGACTCCAGTTTAGATAAAAAACAACAAAACATACACAAAGTTTACGTCGAAAGGTAAATAAACTCGAATTTATACCGACACGTACAAAACAATATGTAAGTAATTTTTTTTGTTAATTAACGAACAAAAGTTCAAATAAAAAAAACGTATTATATATAACCCAACTCATATATTGAAAAGACACAGAAAAATAAGCATGAAAACATAAAAACATTTAAGTCAAAACGTACACAGACTCTAATTTGAATAGATCAACACGTTGACCACATTGAATTTATACTAACACGTATTACAAAAACAAATAAATAAATTAGTCTCTCTCTCTCTCTCTCTCTCTCTCAAGTTAACGAACGAAATTATTAAAGAAAATCCTATTTAAAACATGAAGATGGTACGAGTAACATTTATAAAGTTCAAAGTTGAGAAATCAAAATAACATTTTAAAAAACAAAGGATTGGAAAATGCATTTTACAAAGTAAACCGGGGGGGGGGGGGGGGGGGGATCATATTATATATATATATATATATATATATATATATATATATATATATATATATATATATATATATATATATATATATTAATTTTTTTGGAAAATATAAATGATGGGAAAAAAAAATTCGAAAATTTTCAATTATTTTGCATTTTGAAAATGTTTTTTTTTTATCTACAAAATGACTGGCTGGGATTGCGTGTCACAGTTTCACAAAATTAGGCCGTCTCATATTAACCTAACCATATATATATATATATATATATATATATATATATATATATATATATATATATATATATATATATATATATATATCGAGGAGTTTTATACTCTATAAGTATCCTAGTTTCATCATAGTTCTCCTTAACTTGAGTACGGATCCTATGCTTCCAGTAGTACGGACCCACAGTAGCTTCCATATATATATATATATATATATATATATATATATATATATATATTATATATATATATATATATATATATATATATATATATATATATATATATATCCGTGCTTTCCTCAATAATTGATTTGAATCCTCCAAGTCACTCATTATCCGTACATACAATCCTAGACAAAACAAGGCTCCCAACACTAAATCTCTTCCTAGGTTTTCCTAAGGTAACACCACACAACTCCCCACCATCAGCTGCTGAAGGAATTCCTACTAGCATCCTCTAACTAGCTCACGCATACAATTACATATCACAGACACCAGATAATTCTTTGAATGAAAGGTCTCACACTACAACGAGTGGACTCAAACAAGAGTTGCGCAATAGAGTTAAAACCTAACATTTTAAAATTATTTAGTTTCCGTAATATGTAACTTAGCATATTTGCCTACTAATTAGCTGAAGTTAGTGAGAACTCCTAACAAGCATAAAACTGTTGGATTTTCTACGCATCAAATACACTAAAACTAGGTAACGGAAAAATTGAAACTACGATATACCTAAGTATACATGCAACCTATGGATCTATGGTTTCATGCTAATTACATATACCCTAGAAAAAAAAACATAAAAAAAACATACCTTTATATATGTAGCCCTTGATCTCCATGCTTGAGATCTTAATCCTCTATGAAGTTGCTTGGACGAGAGGACCCAAACCAGAATCCCTCTAATAGTGTAACAACCAAAAATACGACCCAATTTTTTTTTTTTTTGAAAATCATAATAAACCATAAATCATCCAAAATCATAAGGGAAAGACATGTATCGTGTGTAAAAAAAATCATCCCCAAATACAGTGACAAAACATATGGTAAAATATTAGAGTCTCAAAAATCCTAGGCTGAGTACTGTGGTGTGTGTATCATGTGATCACCCCGAGTTTTTCCCTTTGCTACCAGAAGTACCTGAAATCAAAACTGAAAACTATAATCACGAAGCTTAGTGAGCTCCCCCAAGCTACCACATACCATACAATAACACATATAACACACACTGGGCCTTGCCACTGCATCGGGCCCCACCCGGTAAGTCCAGCATATATTGGGCCCCGCCTATTGCATCGAGCCCCACTTGGCACCTGAGCCAAGTATGGAAATACTTGGGTCCCGCCCGGCATCAGGCCGAAGTCCAGAATAAACTAAACATAACATAAACATATAACATAATCACATATACTGCATCGGGCTCGCCCGACATCGGACCGGAGTCCGGAACATATAACACATAACATAAACATGCATGAATCACAAAGACATCAAGCATACATAACTACTTCTCGGGACCGCCCCGACATCGGACCATAGTCCGGAACTACTATCATCTAAACGGGCCTGCATTGTGGCCGTAGACCCGTTCCTACTAGAAGGAAACTCACCTCGTATGACTGACGACTGAAACTCTAGGTAAGGAATCTCTGTCTGCTGCTCCGGTGACTCTCCGACTATAAATTTCATAAGGACACTTAGTCAAAAACTGATAACTATTCTTAGGGTAAAATGACCATTTTACCCCTAGCCAAAGTCAACATCATGGTCAAAGTCAATCTTCCAGGTTGACCAAACTCGTCGATTCATCCATGTGACTCGTCGAGTCCTAGAACTCAGAACCCTAGAAATCGCGACTCGACTCGCCGAGTCATCTCTTGGCTCGACAAGTTCTTAAGCTACTTGTCATCGCAGTTTGTCAAACTGACTCGTCGAGTCTTCTTCAGACTTGTCAAGTCTTGACATAATCAGAAAAGGGACAAGATCCTCCTACTCACCGAGTTCCTTAATCAACTCGTTGAGTCCTATGAACATCATCGGGGTTTCTTCAACGGACTCGCCGAGTTCCCTTATGGACTCGTTGATTCCCTTGCAGATCTATCCTAGATCACTGGTTTCACACTTCTGCAGTTCCAAATTACAGATCTAGGTTGTTTCCACGGTCCATTTCTATAAAGTTGGAGACTTGATGGCTTTGCACACCTCAAATGAACCCAAACTCAAGTTATAGCATTCTACTTTCATAAACATTGTTATGCCTTGGATGAAAACGGGTTCAAGACCCTTTTATGGCTCTAGAGGCCCTAAATTACAGAACAAGGGAAATGTTTTGCAAACAACCCAAGAGAATAGCTTTTCCTAAACAAAAGGGTCAAAAAGACCCAAGAATCCACATGCAAGGAGATCTAATCTATAACTCATTAAGATAAGAACTTTTTACCTCAGAAAGTTGCCAAATATGAGTGTGTTCCTAGATCTAGTTCTCTTTTCCCAAGCTTTTTAGCTCAAAACTCTTGCAACCACCTTCAAAGGCACAAAACACACTCAAAACTCAAGAGAGAGGCTCACAAATGAACTAGGGTTTCTGGAGACAAGGAGGTTGATAAAGGAAGTCCAAGAGATGGGTTTAACATGTGTAACACCCATAAAATTCATGCCGGATTTAAACTTTTAAAATCATTTCAAAACCATCAAATCATTACAAACGTGTTTTCAAAATGTATCGTATCAGAGCTTTCCCAGAACCATAAACAAAACAGGAGGAGTTGTACGATCATGCCTTCGCCTTGCCGCAATCCCCTGATGTACCTGAAACCATAAACCGAAACTGTAAGCCCAAAGGCTTAGTGAGTTTCCCCCAAAATACCCATACTCATAACAACACACACATAGAATCATAAATAGCATACTATGGGTCCAGTCAACCATCGGGTTTGAATACCCCAAGCCCACAACCAATAGGTTGGAATGCCAACATACTATAGGTCCAATCATCCTCAGGATGGAATACCCTAGACCTACAACCAACCAGTTGGAATGCCCAGGTCTATTGGCTTTTGCACAAAGCATATAAGCCTCAACCGCTAAACAAACATGTGCACATATAACAGATAATCACATAATATAATATTATCCTACCCTCTAGAATACCGATCTAACAGATCATACAACATACCATATAATATTATCCTACCCTCTAGAATACCGATCTAACAGATCATACAACATACCATATAATATTATCCTACCCTCTAGAATACCGATCTAACAGGTCATACTAGCAT